TTATTAAGGGAGGCAGAAGCCCCTGGCAAGGAGGTCGGCCTGCAAGTAGACGTTGCTGAACTTGAGAGATCTACACACTGACTGCATCTTCAGAATCGAAGAATAAGTCGAGCAAGAATCCAGTGTGAAAAGCAGAACTTCTGGTGTGCTTCGACCCTGAAGACAGAGGCTGTATGTTCGTCTGAAACGTTTGGCTGCCTGCGAACTACACGGTATGGGGGGAGGGGGAGAAGCAACAGATGAATGGAGAAAATTACACAATGAGGTGCATCATAATTTGTTTTCTTCTTAACGATGACAAAATCAAGGAGGTTGGAATTGGCCGAGTATGAAGCACGCATAGGAAAGGTGAGGAGGAGCCTTACAAGGTTAGCGGCGAGACATAGACGTAGATGGAAGGATAATATGAAGATGTATCATGAGGAAGTGGTAAGAGTGTAAGTGAGAGCGTGTGGACTCAGGGCAGAATCTTGCACGGTCATGAATTTCCGCCTTCCATAAAAGGCACTTAATATCTTGACCAGCTGAAAGACTATCATGGTCTCAAGAAGGACTCTGACCCATGAAGGTTGTCGCGCTTCCCAGTTCGCAACTGTCAAGGTTATCTCAGCACACATCAGAGGGCGAGCAGATGCTTTCAACATCCTCGTGTGTGCTGTGACGTTGCTTGTGACGTTAATCTGGATACAAGGGGTTGTCGCGACGCATGGGGTTGGAGAGGGTTGTGTGGCTGATATTGATTGGGCGGCGGGTCCATTCGTCCAGGGGAGCACGTGGTCTGGAAGCAGCTACCTAAATAGGGATAGCTTAAAGCTCCGACCGCCTTAACTGGTTGCGAAGGAAGGCCCCCATACACTGGGAGCATGAAGATGATCACTAACCTTCGTTCATCTAATTCCGAGATTAAGTTTGCGTGAAGTTTTATCTCCACATCGCCCATTTTTGAATTTATTTCGTGGTGCTTAGGCACAGGGGAAACTTTGGGCCATTTATACTAGTCGTTTAGGTCGCTGGAGAGTTGGAGGGGCTGTGATTGCGACCAGTGCACGCTTAGGTCCCACAAAACATTTTTTTTTTCGTGCGAGCTGCATGCTCCGTTACCTCCATCCTCTTTGGGAATTAATTGTGGCACAAAAAGCCAGCTGTGTGCTACAAGGACTGGGAAAGGGGCCGACAATGTAAGTACCCGTGCTCCTTTTGTATACATGGTGCCCAGATGCCCATTAGAATTTTCAGGTTTCTCTTCAGACACACGCAGTGCACAGTGCAATTCGCCCAGAAGTGGAGTTTAAGTAGCTCCAGCAGCAGATAGAGCATCTCTAAATAGCGCCGATATATCTGACATTTTGTTTGCTTTATTTCTCGATGCTTGATGTATTAGCGGACGGGAATGGGACGCAGAAGGAAGCCGTCTCGGCCCTTCCCTGAGAATCCCAGGTTTGCCATCAAATGGCTTCGACGCCGTTCAGCTTTAGCTTCACGCTGCGGCCGTTCTCTGAGGTTACGTGGGCCTCAGAACCGGCGTCTAACCTTCCCCAGCCGGGAATTCAAAACCTTGACGAGTGTAGTCAGTTACTTTATCGACGAAGCAGATAGAGCGGGTGGGAAGGGACTGCCAATATATGAATACGAAGTTTAGAAACGCGAGAACAGTTTGAAACAAATTTACTACCCATGACTGCGGCAGCCCTTCTTCCGCCCTGCTGCCCGCAGTTTGGGTCGCTGGAGCCCCGAAATAGAGTTTTTGTGTATTCGGCACAATGCTGTCACTTCGAAGCATAGGGTTCCTAAACATCTTGCCCGTACTAGTACGCACACAATAACCCGCGCCAGATTTCGTCCAAGTCCGTATTTATTGGCAATTCCCGATTATCTTTCCATCTCAGACAGTCAATCTGATATGAATTCTGCGGCTAAAATAACGCCATTTACCAAGTTAAGGAAAAAGCTCGGCAATACTTTCAATTAATTCAGCTTCCGTGTTGACGTCACACACCGCCAAAACATGCTGGACAAACCCGACAGAAAAATCTCGGTAGGATATTATTAAAATGTGGCTGTATCTAAAGTCCGTGCTGCTGGTTCCTCTGACCGACAGGTACACCAAAACCTTCGGTCAATGTCACATGCTTTTAAGGTTTAAGGGTTCCTAAGGATGTCGCGTCCTGCTGGACCGCAACCTAAGTTCAGAGGCAGCGATTTTTCGTAAGTCTTATGTGGTAATCACGTGCTTTTATTGTATTGTAGGGGGAGATATCACGCCATGCATATTGGTAGATAGGTAACAGGAGGTCGATTTCTATAGAGATTACGTTATTTTGGTATGTGAGCCCGTGGCTACATGGATGGAGGCATAGGTTCTTCCAAAATACAGGTACCTATCTGCAGAAGTGCACGGCCTCGCATAACAGAAAACCCATAATGTTACTGTGAGGACGTCAAATTGTATAAGGGACTTAAATAGCCCCGTGGTCCTACTACGAGTCCATAGGAGACATCAAGTAAAAGGTGTCTGGTGCCAGATTTCCACCAAAACACGTTTGTTACACAATTCTTCGGTTGGCTTGGCCGTCCGCTGTTTTGAGGTTGCCACGAGCTGAACTCACCTCGCTTTGCGAGAGAGCCTCTTGAATTTGGCTTTGTATAATTCACGGTTCAAAATACGCAACGCCATACTACACCCTTGTGTTTTCTTGTAGTACTATTTGGGCAACCGCACATCCCGGTATTCGGAAAGGTTGATGGTGCTGGAAGAGGGGCGGATGCATAAGGTGGCAGGAAGAGTGTACAGAAAGGAACTGCGAGATTTACTGAATTGTCAAGTGGCTTTCAGATAGGCAAGACATACCAACCAGTGCCAATGGCTCGCAGTCCGATGTCCAAACAAGTAGTTGGGATTTCGACTAACTGGAGAGCTGTTTGCCAGCAATTCCAGCTGAAACAGAACCCTAACTGAGGGTAAGGGGGCTGGAGTGAATAGAAATACTTGCTGTACTCCCTAACAGTGAAGGATTCTCGGAGTAGTTTCAAGTTTGGCGGGCCAAAATCCGAAGACATCCATCGTTACCGAATAAGATGAAGCTAACGTGGACATCAACCAATGGCGCGAGACGAGTTTGGTTGTCTCGAGAGGAAATTAAAGATTTAGGCGTCAAACCAAAGGCGCCATCAGTTATTTAACCAAAAGTATGTATACAAGAACCCATAGTTTCAAAAGCCTCTATGGACATTATCCATCCTCAAGTTTATTCCTGAAATCCGTGGTTGCGGGTCCTAGTTCTGTTTCCCTTTTCATGCAAGAAGAAACGCAATCTGAAAACTGTCTGTTAATTTAGATTATTATTAAACCAACTTTTCACAACTGTAATCGGGTTGCTCTAAAATGCATACTTTCTAGATGCGCACTCAAGAAATTCGACTCTTTTTTTCCCCGTCTTGTACTACTCTGTCCAAAAAGTATCCGCCCTTGGGCCGAAAAAAAAGTTCTGTATCTGGGTGGTTACAATACCTAATCCCCTTCAAAGCAGGCCCCTTGTGACTCCACACACTTAGCCCAGCGGTCCTTCCATCGCTGGAAGCAGTTCTGGTAGACTTCTTTTGGAATGGCGTGCAGCTGCGCTGTCGCGTTCTGTATGATGTCCTCGCGGCTGCCAAAACGGGAGCCTTTTAGCGGTGTCTTCAATCTCGGGAACAGCCAGAAATCACAAGGAGCCATGTCAGGAGAGCAGAGAGCCTGGCGAACCTGCAGAATGCCGTGCTTGGCCGGGAAACCCTGGATCAGGTGCGATGAATGAGCTGGGGCGTTGTCATGATGCAGCTGCCAGTTGCGTGCGTCCCACACCTCCGGTCTCTTGCGCCGAACTGCATCACGAAGATGGCTGAGAACTTCTTGGTAGTACTCCTTATTGACAGTCTGGCCTAGTGGTGCGTACTCATGATGCACAACATCCCGGTAATCGAAAAAAACAGTCACATTGCTTCGAACCTGCCGTGCTCTTCTGGGCTTCGGGGATGTTGGATGCTTCCATTGTGACGCCTGGACCTTGGTTTCAGGGTGATATCCGTATACCCACGACTCGTCACCAGTGATCACAGTCTTCAGGAACTCAGGATTCCTGTTGGCGCACTCCAGCATTTCCTGCGCGACCTCAGGGCGGAGTTGTTGCTGCTCCGGCGAAAGCAGCTTGGGCACAAATTTTGCCGCTACTCTTTGCATGTCCAAATCCTCATTTAAAATTGTGTTTGCGGAACCTCTGCTGGTCCCAACCTCATCAGCAACTTCACGGATGACCAAACGACGGTCCTCCATGATCAGTGTCCGCACTTTTTCTATGAAATCAGCATTTCGGCTCGTTGACGGTCCCCCGGAACCGGAATGCTGCTCACTGTCCGCCAACAATACGGCCATGTTTAAAGCGGTTGAACCACTCTTTAATTTGAGTGACCCCCATTGCATCATCGCCGAAAGCCTGCTGAATTTTGCGAATTGTTTCCGCTTGGGTAGCCCCAAGTTTCTGACAAAACTTTATGCAGTATCGCTGTTCCAAGCGTTCTGTCATCTTGAGCGAAACGAGAATGCGACGAACACTACTTACACCACTTCACTATCTGGCAGCCACAGACGCATCCGGCAGTGTTGCGAGCAGTTGCGAGCGGTTGCGAGGGTAGCGAGTCAGCAAAAAAAAAAAACGCATGCGCATGAAAGTCCCTTCTACCACTACACTCAGTTTCCCCACCCCTTTGGCCATCACTTACAGCGGAAAAAAATAAAGTCGGATACTTTTTGGACATACGGTATATGCATAAATGAATTCAGAGGGGTGGGCAACGATAATCCAACCCTTGCACCCGAAAGGGCTGTAGTTGGTTCCCAGAATATCCGCAACCCATTTCCAGTGCTGGAGGTCAGTAGAATCTAACTGCCATCTGTACGCTATATCGAAAATTCATGTAACCATACGTACAACTAGATGTCGCACAAATAGTGCATTGGAATTTGCTTTATTCGTTGAAATATGTGCGGTATTATGAAACATTTCTCTCCAGGATTAATTACGAGTGTTTTTCGAACGTCTATGTTCGTGACTTGGCAGAAACATGGAGAATTTTCGTAAAGTCATGGTAATGCCATAAGATATCGACATGCATTGATGGAAAACAAGACTAGCGACAGGAGGGGAGAAAAGACAAGGACGGTTACAAGAGCTTATTACAAAATATGCTACTTATATGTCTTTAGAAATCACAACAAATTTGGTGCAAATATGACTACGCAGTGTTTTCTTTGTTAGCACAATGCGACAGATTCTTCAGAACAAAGAGGTTAGGAAATGTGTTTTATCTCAGTGGTGCACTCTGTGGTCGTTAGTGTTCATACGAAGTGAGTTCCGATCGTTCAGATGGCTCTGAAATCGCATAAACAACGAAAAGTTACTGTCATTGGGGAACTGGGGAAGGAACGTTGTGGGGGGAAAAAAGTGCAAAACTGCAATTCCCTTTAAAAATTCGTAATGGCGTATTAATAAGCATTATGTGAAATTATGGAGCAGAAACGTTTTATTGGTCACATCCTTTTGTAATATATTTTGCACTTCTCCATGTGTTGGAATTCGGCTTAAAACGTAAGTCTTTTCTTTTGTTTACTTCAATCAGCTGTACATAGCCCACACTGTGTAATAGTTTAAAGGTCACTTCTTGACTGATGGAATATTGATACATTTTGATCAGTTTAGTAAATGCCCTGTGTGGCATGTGACCTCCTGTATTTTCTAGTTAATCCATCACTGAATTTGGGATGATGGGATCTAAGTAGACTATACTGGACAGTATATCCGAGCGTTGCCCCTTTCCCCCCAAAATGGTGGATCGCATTGTGTTGGATTTTACAGATGGCCCTATCTGCGCTGTGGCTGTTGTATGGTACCTTATTCAGAAATGTGTACTTTATATTGACACCACATCAGTACGCACTTGTGCTATTTGCTATAAATAGTGCTGATGAAAATAAAAAAATTATCACTGTAGAGCCTTTATTTAAATATGAAAAGACAATACATTTTTATTTGTCGATAAAAGACTCGGAAATTGTACTTGTTTTTTGATATAATGAAACTTGTCTAGTTTGTTTGGACAGGTGACTCATCTGCCTTCCTAAATTTTTAAAAGTATGTAATCAACTGTGAACAGAATTTTTCATATTTCAGTCTGGGTTAACCGTAACTGGATTAGTGAGGGTTTGCTGTAGTAATATTAAATGTGTTGATTCGCTTAGTGGGGGGTGGAGTCCAACTGGGTCCACTTGGCATGGCGGCCATTGATTAGCCTATTGTAGCCTGCCCCGGCTGATTATGATGGAGTTTGGTGGAATGAAGATTGGCAGGGGAAACCGAAGTACTCTGAGAAAACCTGCCCCAGCGCCATTTGTCCACCACAAATCCCACTTGACCAGACCTGAGATCGAACCCTGGCCGCAGCAGTGGGAAGCCCGCGACTAACCGCTTGAGCTATGGCATGGCCTACAAATGTGTTGATAGTAAAGGCATACATTTTTATTATGCATTGAGACATCCTTTGTCTAGCTGTACTTGTCTCTCACTTAATTCCCATCTTCAGGTGAAATTCCATATTAGTTCTTATGTATTCTGTTTGCTGACAGAAGTGGAGAACTACCTCATCCCACTGTATCACCAGGTTCATTATCGTGCTCACAAGAGCCCTCCTCCACTGATGTTTTATCCTGAGCCAGATTGATCCAGTCCATATCACCATCCTATCTGTCTAAAATCAATTTCAACACTATCCACCTACCTACATCTTGGTCTGGCTTTCCTGCCATTATCCTATACACATTTATCTTCTTCATTCGTCCTATATGCCCTGCCCATCTCATCCTCCCTGACTTGGTCATTTTAATTGTATCTGGCGAAGAGTACAAATTATGAAGCTCCTCATTATGCGGTTCTCTCGAACTTCCTGTCAGATGCCCTCAGTCTGTCTCCCTTAATGTCAGAGACCAAGTTTCTCACCCATACAGAAAGAACCACAGGAAAAACTATAGTTTTGTATATATTCTATCCCACTGTATCACATGATGAAATGAGACATGGGGGACTGAACCTACTGAGCTGGATGTAGCCTCCTATAATAAACAAATATTCTTATCACATGCCGATATAAACAGTAAGTAGTTTGAGGTTATGTGAAGTGTATGTATGTAAGGGGTGGGCCATAAAAACTGGCACCCACATTGTGACCTTCAATGATCTGTTGTGGTTTATGTCAAGTGTAACAAACACTTATGAAAGCAGAATGTTTGTTGTGTTCTCAGTGGGGAACGTGTACATACAGTCACAGCAAGATGTCAGCGACTCTAGAACGAAGTTACCAGCCGCTCCAGCCGTATGGACCAGAGCTGGGAGAGGCAGATGAAACACCACAGGACAGTGGCGTGATGATCCATGTTGTACCTGAGAACAGCAGAGGTACAGTTTATTTCTGTAATTCATATGTTCACAGGAAACAGTTGTTGGTATACTTAGAATATTAATATTTGAGATTTTTGTGAACATAAAGATTTATATTTTGTTCTCGATTGTGTGGTCCCATAGGTGGGTAGCAGCAGTGTTTTGAAGAAACATTGTGCTTCGTTTGATCCTTGCAGTAGAGGTAGTTGAGATGCTAGTGACACTAGCCTCCATTGTTGTGTGAAAAAATTGTAAATAGAGGTTTAATTGGGGCTCTTGAAGGGCACATATGAGGTGATAGAGGGTAATGAGCTCATTGTGATTGAAGTTGGAAATGTCACAGAGTTGTTCACTTTGAGGGAAGAACAGAAGTTACAAATATTTGTAAGCACTATGCTCTAAATTCAGGATCAAATGAGAAATTTACGTACACAATGCAGAACTTCCTACATTGTGCAAAGTGATGTTGTATGGTTAGGATAGCGGACTTGAGTAGAATTGTTCTGCACAAGGAGGATAGAATCTGTGAAGGGGGATTGAAGGAGGGGGGGGGTTCTAGCAGAGTGGTGTGTTCTCAAGCTTGAGTGTGTCCAACCTTTCTGGATTTATGCCATGGTATACCTGAGTCTACACTTCACTATTGCACTACACCATCTTGTGAAAATTATCATGTTTTGAGGTGCGTGTTTCTTGCAACCCCAAGTGATACAGCCTTTTGTGATGTGATACCATGCAGTCAGGTGGACAGGTGTCAGTGTTTCCGAGGAATGTGACTGTTCCCTTCTATCTGCAGGCTTTGCTGCTTTTATGTTACAGCTCGATGGAACCATGTGGAAGACTTGGACTCATTCTTCACCAGAATGTACCACTATCACCAGAAACATGGGTTCACCTGCATGATCCTACAGGAGATCCTGGAATTGCTGCAGTTCATCTTCGTCGTCATGTTCTCTACATTTCTCCTCCACTGTGTGGACTATTCAGTACTCTTTAGGTATCATACCCACTGTTGTATCAGAGCCCTGTACCCACTGTCACATGTGTGAATTGTCAAGTTATCGTCACTGTTTTGCTCTAAGTCTCGAAAACCTTAATATGAACATTGCCTGCTGCCATATTAGCAAAACATTGCAACATCCATCAAATAAATGAATAATTAAATTCATGGAGCTGAACCCTTCTTGAGAAGCTGCTGGTTGTGCAGCTACTCAAGAACTGTGTTCACAAGAGAACTCCCACTGGTCCCCATTCCTGAGCCAGATCAATCCAGTCCACACCACCCTATCCTATCTCTCTAAGATCCATTTTGATATCAACTCACTGAGGTCTTGGCCTTCCTAGTGGTGTCTTTCCTTCTGGCTTTCCAACAAAATATCCTACATGCATTCCTCTCCTCCCCCATTCATGCTACTTGCTCTGCCCACCTCATCCTCCTTGACTTGATCATTCTAATTATACTTGGTGAAGAGTACAAGTTATTAAGTACCTCATTATGCAGTTTTCTCCAACTTCCCCTCACTTCATCTCTCTTCGGTCCAAATATTCTCCTCAGCACCTTGTTCTCAAATACCATGAGTCCCTTAATGTCAGAGACCAAGTTTCACTCCCGTACAGCAAAATTATAGTCTTGGATATTCTAATTTTATGTTTTAGAGGCCAGATTTAAATGAAAATCTATTGATGAACTCTCTCATGACGGTATTGATGTCAGGAAGAGCTGAATGTGAATCGTGGAGGTTGGAATTAGCCAGTGCCCTCCCTCCCACCTCACCTGCCCTCATGATCAGAGCTTATGAGGGAGCTTATTATGGCATTCATATTAATTGCTGGAATTGTAACTGAAACTGATATTTACACAATTAGGGCTGGGATAGCTCAGTTGGTATAGTAGTGGGCTTTGGGCTGGATTTGCCAAGGAATTGGGGTTTGGTTGCTGGCAGTGGCAAGAGATTTTTCTCCCCTGTGCAGCATCTGGACAAGTCCTATCCAGTGGGTGTTAAAGGGACTTTCCCAGGTGTGTAAAGCGGTACGGGTGTGAGGCTGGCTGACCTCAATCTAGTGCCAAGTTTGAAAATGTTGAGCTACACCTCCACATTCACCCATATCTTTTTGTGGCATGATGTGTAATTTAGCTTGGGGAAAACTTTATCATTTAGTTTCTGTTATGCAAATTAATTTGTTTTAATAAAATTACATGACATGTAAATCAGTGGGAGTTAGTAACAGGCCCAGGTGTACAGGTAACAATCCAAAAACACAACGCAACACCATGCAGATGACAGCAAGGCAGGAGGGCAAGACATGCAGAGGGGTTGGGGGGAATCTGTGTTCAGTCCTTAACTGACACACTTGACGTGTAGCAAGTTTCATTGTACTCACAAGTGTCGGAGGGGGGAGGGGAGGAAATGTGAGTCATTTCAGTTGTGCTCATTAAAGATGTAACCCTCAGCGCATTTTATTTTGTGTTTGAAGAGAGAGAGAGAGAGAGAGAGACTTTTTGACATGTCAGGAGTACTTGTGATGGGGTAATTTTTGGCATCTTGTTCTGCTTCTAGGGACAATGTTAATGCAACTGCCCACCAGAAGATCTCTCTAAGTGATGCGGTGTTACCAACAAGTGAATGCATAGCAAATTTAGGTGCACTAACATGGGTCTGCATTTTGGTGGCTGTGATATTTTGGGCCCTGCGTGCAATCAAGGTTATATACCACCTGTTCCAGTTTTGGGATATTAAGCAGTTTTTTAACACAGCTCTTAAGATAAATGATGTAAGTACACATGTTTAATTTTATTTAAGCATGAGCAGTGAAACCTGGTGTGTGCTGGGTATCATGTGACTGGGTCGAAGGCTATGCCACTGCGTGTGCTGCTGTGCCTTGCAGCTGTAAGAACATGATGCAAATATGGGGTTGCTACATATAACTGCCAACAGGCCTAGAGAATTATGTGGCTGTAGGGAACGGCTGATGCCTCTCTCTGTGTACAGTTGTGAGCCTTCGTCCAGACAGCACCAGTGGTTGAAGCTATGGACCCTATGAATGAGAGTCCCCTGATAGAATTTTGGTGTGAAAAGACAAATTTGAACATGAAAAAAAAGGCCACTATTTTTGTTAGCTTCTAAGGATGTTAATAATCAGATTTTTCCAAACATCATTTCACCCCTGAAAAATGAAATATGCAAATGATGCCTTTCTTTACAGAGTGATTTAGACAATTTGACTTGGCATGAGATCCAGCGCCGAGTGCGAGAAGTGCAGCTTGAACAGCAGATGTGCATTCATAAAAGTGACCTCACTGAGCTGGACATCTACCACAGAATTCTCAGGTACAGGTTAACAGACCAAAGTAGTCAGCAGACTGTGGCATGCATGTATATATGGTGGAACCTGTGTAACATCAGCATCACCATGTTGTTTCAGGTTCAAGAACTACATGGTGGCTATGGTTAATAAGTCCTTGTTGCCGGTGAGATTGCATCTGCCTCTTCTGGGGGAAATTGTGTTCCTTACTAGAGGCCTCAAGTATAACATCGAGTTACTGCTTTTCTGTAAGATATTCCTGTACTTACACACATTGCTTATTTAATGTTGGAATGTGTGTAGCTAGTAGCACGCTGTCTGCAAGAAAGTGTACTCTTCCATGAATAATCCTGTCCAGCAGGATTGCCAGTGTGGATGTTGCAAGCAGATTAGTGAACATTTTAATGATGGTATAGTGGGCTGTTTGCTCAAGGTAAGAACTGTGAAGCTAGTAGAGACAGCCATTGCTAGGGAACGGCTCTGCAAACACACTCATTGCTAGGCAACAGCTTCCTAACTTGCAACAATGAAGTAACTGGGAAACAGTGTTCTCTGTGTGGTCCGTGCTGATAGCTATGTGGCGCAACAATAGAAAAACTGTTGGGAGGTGTTTTTGTGCAGAACCGAATAAATTGCAAATGAGTTGGGGGGGGGGGTGTATTGGCAAGGGAAGCTAAATGACTGTCAACATGATGCTCTGTGGATATATGAGTTGGACACTTGTCAGTTGCCCGTTTCCCAGAAATCATTGTATTATCCCATATATATATGCACACACACACACAGAGGGACCCAAAAATGTCTTCACACATCAGCATACGAAATATTTGTTTAATTAATTTGCTGGTAATCCAAATTTGATACACACAGAAAGGGATGCCTCACAGGTAGTGTGATGGTGCGCCATCTTGTTGAAAGTAAAATGACTTGTTCCAAGAGACTTGGTGAATGGCAGTTAAAAATGTCTGTAGATTACCGCTGTTAAAGAGAGTGTGTGTGTATGTACTCGTATACGAAGGGGGACCCAAAAATAACCGGAACCGACCTGTTGCGCGCGCATGCTTTGTAGTTACGAGTTGTGCTGCTAGGTGGTGGTAGCTGGGGGTCTCCCGCGACTGTTAGTGAGCTGGCGTCAGTCTGAGTTAAGTGGTTTGTCTGTGGTGCTCTGTTGTGTGCGTTCATGTTTCAACCCTTTGGCGATTAGTGAGAATGGCATTGTCCACAAAGAGTTCGTTTCGCCAGGACAAACAGTGAACCAACATTTTTACCTGGATGTGTTACGAAGATTATGAGAGAGTGTGCGATGAAAATGGTCCGAAATGTGGAGAAATGGGAACTGGTTGCTTCACCACGACAATGCTTCAGCCCGTCTCATGTGCAAACCTTCGGTTAAAATTTGCTGGACTGTGCTCCATGAGATGTTTGTTTCCTCAGAAAGTTGGTCAATGGTCTTTCGACGATCTTCATCACTTCTGGTCGGCCATCTCACTAATCGCCAAAGGGTTGAAACAGGAACGCACACAACAGAGCACCACAGACAAACCACTTAACTCAGACTGACACCAGCTCACTAACAGTCGCGGGAGACCCCCAGCTAACACCACCTAGCAGCACAACTTGTAACTACAAAGCATGCGCGTGCAACAGGTCGGTTCTGGTTATTTTTGGGTCCCCCCTCGTACATACAGCTGCTACTTGGCAATGGGCCTACCTGCCCACGTGTTGGGTGTATGTCACGCGACAAATAACTTCATGCTGTCTTGGATCTAGTGAATTTATTGAACACTTGCTCTCAGAATTACACCACTGCTGCCATCTGCAGTATCACAATTACTTCTGCTGGAGTCACTGCCATTCACTTGATACAACTTAATAACAATGGACTTCAGCTCACTCCTGCGAATGCTAGACTACCACTGACTGGTTACTCTCGAAGTCGAAGTCACATTGCGACTGACGGTCAGTCAGTCAGTAAGTCTTGGTGTCGAGGCCCATCTGGGGCTCATGACCAGATATTTATTACTGTTTGACATTTACGGCCTTGCTTTTGTGGGGCGCCCTCTCTGACGAGAGGACGGGTCTGTCTTCTATATATGCTGCTGGCCCTTGCCAGCGCAATTTTTCTCGCGTCCGAGTCCCTTGAGACTCGCGACCATATTTTACTGTCTCAGATTTGAGACTTCCCTTTTCGTCGCCTCCTACGACTCGCAGGGTCACGATGGAGGTATTCGACCCCGCCTCCACACGGGGGGACTGGTTACTCTGATGAATACTCCTCGTTATGTAGCATCCACACTGACAACACAGAAAACAGTTATGTGATAGCTTCCACTGTTGCGTATCGTCGTGTTTACAGGCGTTGCTGGGGAACGCTGCCGAGAGATGTTTATTGCTGCCTAGGAACCGCGGTGTTCCCTCTTACATCACTGTGGGGGAGGGGGACGGAGTGTTGACTGGCCTGTTACCATAGCAGCGGCAGCTGTTCTGATGCTGTTATGTCACCGCTGGAGGGGGAGTATCCTGCATAGCGCAAATATGTCACACTGCTCCCTTCTAAAGGTTGTTCATCCTGAACAACTTAATGGTGCACCCCCGTTCCTTTTCTTTCAAGGCTGTGCTTTCTGCGTCTTCTTTTGGTTCAGCTACTACTTTTGCAGTGACTATTCTCCAGCCGTTATATCTGTTCCCTTCTTAAGATTGTTTGTCCCGAACAATTCCATGGTCCAGCGTTAGTCGATCCGTTGTGTAACATTCACTCGTCACTTTCATCCCTCACACATTCACTCTTGCTGGGGAGGCCGGTACTTCTACGTAACCGGCTCCTCCTCTCTCTGTTGTTTTCTTTTCTGTTTTGGACGGGGTCACCCCCTCCGTAGTGTCCATGTCTTTTTTGAGAAGTTCCCTTTGTTGACGTAAGAGTGTGACCTGCACTCGCTGATGTCGTCGTTCCTCCTGGTCTTCCCACCACTTGCTGGTACGAGACCGTGGCGCAACAGTGCCCACTGCTGGTTTCTTTTCACTGCTATGGTCATCCTGCAGTGGTTGAGACTCATCATAAGGCTACTTGCAGAGATGGTGTTGACAATTGTCGATGGCTAGTTCCTTTCTCCAGGATCCGAAGGTTCCCTGGGTAGTTTCCTACTTGAAGGCATCTCTCCTGCATCATGCCACTGCTGCATGGCGGGACACCTTCTGGTCGGTTCGTGTTTTCCGTGCCATTTTTGCACTGTGGCTTGTCCCTCTGCGGGTGACAACCAGTCTTCCTCAGCACCCATCCTGACACTGGGTCCTTTCATTCATTTTTCGCTGGTTTTGGTCCCTATGCCTTTTCTTCTTCGGTTCTCCGACCGGCATTACTTCGGTGTCTTTTATGGGGACTTCTTGTTGTTGGGCCACCTCAGGTTTCCTGTCCACTGAGGTCGGCTATTCTTCTAGACATGCCTCTATTTTTTCCATTCTTGCCAGGAAATCTTGGGCGGCCAGCAGATGTTCCATCATTTCTTCAATTTTCATCATGTGGCAGTATAATTTGTTGTAACTTTTGGCGTGTTTAAGTTCGTAAACCAATTCTGACACTAAATTGTCACGTATTGGGTAGGTCACATGACAAATAACTTCACGCCGTTCTGGATCTAGTGAATTTATTGCACATTTGCTCTTACACTTATACAGTTCACAATTACACCACTACTGCCATCTGCAGTATCACAACTCACTCTGGCGAATGCTAGACTGCAGCTCACTGGTTACTTTGGTAATTCTCGTTATGTAGCTTCCGCACTGTCAACACAGAGAACAGTTACATGATAGCTACCACTGTTGCATAAACGCTGTGTTTACAGGTGTTGCTGGGGAACGCTGCCATGAGTTATTTATTGCTGCGAAGTAACTGCGGTGTCCCCTGTTACATCACTGCGGGGGAGGGGGACGGAGTGTTGACTGACCTGTTACTGTAGCAGCGGCAGTTGCTCCGATGCTATTACATCACCGTTGGAAAGGGGGGGGGTCTTTACCGAGCATTGTGCCGTCCACGTC